GCATGACCAAGAATTCATAGTGTCCGTACCTGGTTCGGAAAGTTGTTTTGGGAATGTCTTCTGTCTTGATCTTTATCCGATGGTAATCTGAACGCATATATATTTTGGAGAAGACTTGGACACCCTGCAACTGATCAAAAAGATCATCGATCCTGATGATGGGGTACTTGTTCTTGATTGTGAACCTGTTCAGTCCCCTATAGTCAATACATAATCTTATCGTCCCATCCCATTTTCTTACAAATATGACTCCAGCACTCCAAGAAGACATACTATGTCGGATGAATGTACTATCCTGCAATTCATTGATATGTTTCCTCTGCTCTTTCATTTCTACATGACTCCTGCGGTAAGGAAAAATTAAGATAGGCTCTGTGTCAGACTGAAAGTTTATGGTGAACTCAACTTTTCTGTCCACTGGTGGTTCGGGAAGTTCATCAGGAAACACATCCGGGAGGTTTCGGACTACCGGAATCTCTTGAATACAAATTTCTTTCTTAAGTTTGTATATTGTAGAGAAAACAACCGAGTTAAAACGTTATGTAATAAGGAATTTGTTATGGGAGAATAAGATTCAAAACTTTTTATTAGCTTGTAAATGACTCATCGCTAGTAGGTTTAATTACAAGTTTCTTGTGGGAACAATCTATGGTGGCGTGATACGCCGCTAACCAGTTCATTCATAGGATTACATCAAAGTCCCCTATGTCAACCTCTATCAGGTCCATCATGGGTGGAACCGAGTCCATCCCGTGGAAGAGGAACCGAATGTTACTGGAGAAGAATTGGGTGACCCTGTGGTGGCACCTAGTTGTATGGTGGGGTACCAGATTATACTATGGCGGTGCTAGATGATACGATGGAGGGACAGGATTGTATCGAGATAACACTAAATCCTCTCGTTGTAGGGGTGGCTCGTATTGTGGCAGTGGTGGAGGGTCAGACAGCTCCTTCCTCCCTTTCCTGGCTTGCTGGGCAGAGATGAGTCTCACTAACATCTCGAAGAGCCGATCGACATCCTCTCGAAGCAACCCGTCTTGGGCTGCCTTGTTCAGTAGGGGCCCTCCTCTCCTCATGTCCTTGTACTTATTTTTTTTCACAAAGAAGGGTTGGGCGATGGTTCGTATTGAGTGTTTTTTTAAGTATTTGTGTAAGAAATGGTTTCGAGGAACGTAGCTCTGATACCAACTGTAAAGGTCGGGAACTTAAAAGGAAATAAAATCATGAATTAAATACGGAAGCGAAATAATAGAATTTAGGGTTCACATTCCTTACACAATAACTTAGAATGTCTAATAGGAGTATGAAAATGTCATTTTTAAAAGAAATAAATAAAAATTAAAGAAATAAACAAAAGACAATATATTGAGTATTTTAGGACGACCGTCACTATCTTTTGACGGGAGTCCGGGCGGTGAACTATTCACAATTCTCTTATTGATCAGGATCTGGATTTTGGTTCTCTTGATTTGAAATAGTTAATGAAAAGGTGAGGCACATTAGGGCAGTAAGAATATCACAATACTCACCGATACAGAAACTGAAGGTTGGTAAAAATCATAAAAATAACTAATGGAGCTATTTAAGTAAATTCATTTATCATAAAAAAAACCATTTATTGTATATATTTACTGTTGCGAGATTTTCAAAATCGACCTATAGAGATACAATAATTCAAATAACATTTCAATCTCATTTTCAAGTGAGTAATAGCAAGCACTTTCCCTTTTTATTTGCCTACTGGTATCTTCGATAGTCTATAAGGATGTCCCACTACACGTGAACTAATATTCAACATTGTCAACTAACCGCCCGTACCCATACTCCGTCCGGTATGAGCACAAAAAATATCATCTCTCAATACTTCGTCCGGTATGAGGGCGAATCGGGCCGTCCCCATACTCTGTCCGGTATGAGCGTAAAAAATACCATTTCTCGATCCCTGTCCGGTATGAAGCAACGTTCACGGTAGGGTTCCCTATGTATCCGGTCCGTCCACCATTTCGCAGAATATTCAGTAAGCCTACCATTCATTAATTCACATGACCAATCAATTTTCTGTTTGCATATTAATTTTCAATTTCACAAATCAACCGTAAATCACGCAAGACAAGTAATATATATATCAAGTAAGCACAACTAAATCGTTTAACCATTTCAGTATATTATCATGTATTTAAAGCTGTAAATTCAACAATCAATTAAATAAGGCAAATAAAGAACTAACCGATTCCGGCTCCATTAGTAATCTGTAATTATTCTCAAAGTTTTCTTAATTATATAAAATACCATATTTATCGATTATTAAATTTCAATTCCATAACAGAGAATAAGGTGAAAGATTCTTATCCAAATCGATATCCGAAATACCAAACTTTTTACTGCGCCTACTAACTGTCCCCGGGTTTCCTGAATTTTCATGCGGAGATTAAAACACGCTTCACGTACCTAAAAATACCAAAAAAAATCCAAAATCGGTGTTAAAAATCTTTTCCAGTTAATTTTGAAATTTCGATAAAGCGGCATCGTCGTGCTCCGGCGATGGCACCGCCGCCCAGGCGGCGGTTTACCTCGGTCTGACCATTTTTGGCTAAATTTGGCCGGTTTTATCCTCATCCTTACGAGAAAACACGTTAGGGGTCTCGATTGACCGAAAAAAATCAAAAAACAGAAACTTACCGGCGGTAAAATTTTCCGGTACGGCGGCTCTGCCGGCTCACCTTCGCGGCTGCGTGTTTTTCTTCGATCAACCTGTAGAAAACAGAACAGTGAACACAATGGTGAAAAAATCGCACAAAACCGGAAATAGGATAGGGCTCGTCGGATGAGGTTTTGGATTTTGCCCGCGACGCGGCCGCCAGGCTTTACCCACTGTTTCTTTTACTTCGATTTGGCTATGGAGGCACTCGGAATCAAATTCCGAGCGAATCGGAGAATTTTTTCTTTTTGGTAGTTGAAGGTGGCTCCGGTGCGGCGGCGAGCGGCGGTCAGCTTCTTTCTTCGACGATTAGTTCTTCTTCTTCGGCGGGAGGCTGGCGACTAGGATTTTTCTTCGGTGTGGTGCGAAATATTTATACTAATCTTGCTTAAATTTGGATTGTTCATCGCGTTTGATCTTGACCATCCGATCGCGTTTAAAAAGGGAACAAATCTGAACCGTTCATCGCGTTTAATCGCGACCATCCGATCGCGCCTGAGAATGGAACGGATCCGGACTATCCACGCGCACGGGAACACTTTCGGGCCGTTCGATCGTGAGGCACGCAGATTGCCAGTGTGGCCTCCCGCGTGGTACTGAGTCAGCGTGTCTTGTCACGCGCCGCGCTTTGATTCGTTGAAACTGCTGACTTGAAATCCTACGTGGCGCAATTTTCTTTAATTGCGTTTTGACCCTCAGTTTTTTATTTTTATTTCAAAAACACCATCCAAACCTGAATTTTCACATTTTTTTCTCAAAGTTGTTTTCAATTTCATTATCAACTTATTTTTTTCATAATTCCACATTAAATTAAATTTTATTAATTTAAAAATTAGATTTTTATATATTTTTTAAATTTTAAAATTAATCCAGAACCAAATTTCGGACCCAGGTATTACAAATATCATTACTGATGATTTGTCAAACCAAGAAAGAAACTAGCAAGAATCTATGGTACCTTGACACCGGTTGCTCCAATTATATGAGTGGAGATAAATCAATATTTTCTATCCTTGATGATACATTCCGTGACATTGTAAAGTTTGAGAATGACTCCAAAGTTGCAGTC